GCCGCCGACGTGCTGCTGAAGATCGACGTACACGAAGAGTTGGACGGGTACGACGCATGTCCCAAGAAACGGGGGGCAGGGTAGAGAGGAAGGAGGGGGTTTGCGACTGAAGCCAAGGAGATCAGATGAGATGGGAGTTTCTCAAACTGGATTTCAGCCCACCTTTTGCCAAGCGCGTGTCAAGGCGGGGCAAAGGGTTTGAACCCCGCCATTTTCCAGGGGCCGATCTTAAGAGACACGGCACGACGCGCGCGTCTCCTTGAGACGACGTGTTAAGGACGACTTCGTGTGCAAGGCCTTGGCGCCGGAGGGTCTGGCCCTGACTTTGGGGGGCCCGGGCCGGTCCTGGCGGCGCTCGGGGGAGGGCTGGCTGCCGGTGGACACGAAGGTGCAGATCCTGGACTCTGCGGAGGAGAAGGCGGGCAGAACGCGGTTTTGGAGTGGCGCAGCGGGATTTTTTTGCTGCAAACAGAAGCTGTTGGGGGGGGGTAAGAGGTGATTGGTAAGGGGTAAGGGGTAAGGGGCGAGTGTTTCTTGGTCACCTTGTTTGTCGGTTGTCTGGGCTTGCTCCTTGTCTGCTTGTGAAACCCGCTGTGGCAGCTCCGGCTCGAAAGTCGCAACTTTTCAATGATCTTGGGCGTTGCCGGGTTTGCCGCTGGCGTAGGCGTGCGAGCCGTCATCTTTTACATCTATCAATCCTTGGTCCCAGGTGCAACAGAGGTCCCAGGTGCAACAGAGTTTCATTCTGAGTGTGTTCCGGAGTTGAAATTGGGGTTTCGAGTTTCAGGTGTTCTGGGCTCCGGAACGGCCGATTTGTACAGTGAGCTGGGAATTCAAGCGTTGCGGTTGATGCAGATATTGTGAGTACGTACGACCTTTTCTTGTTCCCGAGGCGCCCAAAAAGAATCAAACAAACGCAAGGAAGCGAAAAAGGGAACGTAACTCCAAAGATTTTCTGGACCCTCTAAGGGAACTGCAGGTTGACAACCCCATCTTTGTTAATAGTTGTGCCCCTCTAGTGATGATGAATCCCCAGGAAGCCAGGGACACTCGCCTAGTAATACGCTGGGGTTATCGGCCTATTCAACAGCCACGATGGGTACATTCCCTCAGATTGGCGGTTTGGCCCAGTTGATTTCTCAAGGTGAATTCAGCTTCCCTCCATTGTGTGGTTTGGAGGTGTTCTAAATGGGGGGGCTGGCTCACAAGAACCAGGTGGTTCAACTCTCAAATCCCACATTTGTTTCGACCGTGACACATGTCTGTCTTTTGTTGAGGCTTGGTACCCTTGCTTTTTGGGGGGGTTGTTTTGTGTGCGTCTGTGTGTGTGTGTGTCCGTATGATCTATTTCCTTTTTATACGTACGTACACACACACACACACATATATATATATATATATATACATATAATATACACATGTGTGGACATACATGCGCGGCATAAAGCATAAAGCAAGACCATTAATTAAGAGACGTACAAATTCATCCGGGACCTGGGCCAAAGAAAACAGCGCTCGAAGCCCAGACAGCTCTCAGGTGCTGGTGCCCTGGGCCTTCCTGGGCGCCTTCCCTGGAGACCAGGTGGGGGGCGAAAGCCGGCGGAAGCCTTCGGAAGCGGTGGGCGAAAGGGCCGCCGTGTCCGAAAAACCGCTGGCGCGTTTTTTTTTTTTGGTTGTTTTTTTTTGGGGGGGGGGTGGTTGAGGTGCGAAGCCAGGAGTTTCACTCCTCCCCCCTGCTTTCTGATGGTTTTTGTTCGGGGGTGGGGGGTGGGGGGAATGGGAATCCCATTTTGGAGGGGATTCACTCTGGCAGACTTGTTTGTACGGCGTCCGTACATGGTTACAAACCCCGGAATGGGGAGAGCCAGGGGTAGGGTCAAAGGGCTTTGAGTTGGCTGAGGACTCCTTGCAACGGTAAGGGGTGGATAGGAATGTTTGAAAGGCTGCCATCATACGGCACCCCCACACCAACAGACGGTAGCATACACAGGGAGGTTCCCTACTTGCAGTGTGTGACTCCAACCTGCGGTCCCAAGCCGACCTTTCGACCTCTTATGGTTTCCATGGCAAGCATTCAAGCCCATGCCGACCCTGCATGGGACAATTTCACATTCCCCCCAAGAGGTTTTTTTTGGATTTCGGCAGCTTGTTGTAAAAGTTCAGCTGGGGCGCCCTGCTCGTTTTCACCTCAACCAGCGCCGGGTGGACCTGTTTGTTGGCTTGATTTCTCGTGGCGCCGCTCGGCAGTCGGCAGGGCCGGCCCTTCTTCGCGAAGGCGTGCCCTGCCCAGCGGGCCGAGTGCGCGGAGAGCCGGCGGTCCAAGCCCAAGGCATGGCTCCTGGCGGGTTTCGGCGTGGGCGGGGGTGAGGGGCTGAGTTCATAAAAACCTCCCCCGGTTGGAAAGCAAGGGGCCCAAGGTCCCAAATTCTTAATTAGTGGGTCATTTCGAAATTTCTTTCTCCTGACTTGTTATTCAGGGGGTCTGGTTCCAACTTGTTAGCTCCCCTTGGTTGTGGGAATTGGAGGTTCGGAAGGAACTTTGGGCCACGCTGCGGACTTGGGTATTGGTCCTGGCTTGCCCTCCGCGATTCCCCCTTGCCATGCGCAGAAAGAAAGAAAGAAAGAAAGAAAAGAAAGAAAGAAAGAAAGAAAGAAAGAAAGAAAGAAAGAAAGAAAGAAAGACAGAAAGAAAGGAAGGAAGGAAGGAAGGAAGAAACAAAGACAGAGAGGCTGCAATGGCAGGGTGTGCTTGAAGCACCCTTGGTGGGGAGGGCGTTTGATGTTGGCATGGCCGTGAAAACCACGTTTTGTCGTTTTTCAAGGGAAACCCAAAGGAACACCATCTTGGGGGGTCGTACTTTTTCTCAGCCGGCCGGCGTGGGGGAGTTTGGGCCTTGGGGAGGAGCGGCGCCGGCTCTTGGAGCGGCGGCGTGGGGGAGCTGTGCGGCGCTCGCTGCGCGAGCAGAAAGCGCGGCGAGAAGACCGGCGGCTTGGCCGCGCCTTTTCCCCAAAAAGCTGAAAACTGTATAGGTTCTTTGAGCGTGAGGTGCGGGTGCACCTTTGCAAGATTGATGGTAGGGTGCTGCTCTGTGCAGGTGTTGATTGATGAAGTTGATTTGAATGCTTGCTCCTTTTGTTGGCCCGGGGCACTCAGGACCAGTGGCCTAATGGATAAGGCGTCATTGTGTGCTTGAACGCCATGTCAATGGTACCCTGGTCCGTCTCGCTCCTTTAAAAAAAAAAAAAACTATGCAACCGTTGGCACGTGCTTCGCTATTTGGGGTCTTTTTTTGTTTTTGGGGGGGGGGTAGGGTACTCAAAAAAGGATCGTCCATATTTCAAGTTTCGGTTGGTCTCATCTTGGTTTCCCCTTCATGACTCTGGCCAACCCCAAGAAGGATACTGCAAAAGGCGCACCGGCACGCACAGCCTGTTCAGTGTGTCTGTTTGTTTGAAGATGCGACCTCGCAAATGGACTTGCCTTGTGAGCTCGCCCCTGATCCCTCATTTCAGGTGAATTGTTACAATTCATCCAGCGGTTTGCATTCTTCTCCATCTTTTTCCCTCGGTCGTCATTTGGTTTTGGGGGTTTTGGAGGGTGCCAAGGCTGAGGGGGTCCAACGGTTACCCTGAGCCTTTGGTTTTACTGTAGGAGTCGGGACCCGGGTGGCTCCAAGCAACGGGGACGCGGGGGTTGGCATTGATGAATGTGCGACGGGCTTGAGCGCTGCATTGTGTTTTTTTCCTCTCGGCGTGGCACCTCACAATAGCGAGCGCACCTGGAAAGGCGAGCTAACACATTAGATGCCTGGCCTCCAATGTTCAACCCTCCTTCCAATCATTGTGGAAGCTGACGGGCGGGTTCTGCAACACAACTTGCCTTTTGCCCCCCCCCCCGCCCTCTCCAAAACCCACTGCTCCATGATGCATGGAAACAAGGCAGCCGTCTTAGACCGCGGGCATCCCTGCGTTCGGCGAACCGTTTCCCGCGAAGCGAGAACAAAAAAAAAAAAACTATCCGGCGCCTTCGAGGTGGTACGGCATGACCGACGAGGCCTCCGGAGGCCTGGCGTTGGTGCCGCTCTCGGGGCTCTCGGGCTCCACCATCGAGAGGCTGCTGGAGGATGGGCATGGCATGGCCTCGCATGGGCGACGCTCCGTTGGGGCGCGGCGGGTCTTCTTTTTGTTTTGTTTTTGTTTGGGTTTGTGTCGATTTTTTGAGGGAGTGCCCCCCCCTTCCCCCACGTTTTCCTTTTTCTTTTTTTTTTTTTGCGGGGAAAGAAAAACTGAAGACTTCAGAGGAAAATGGCTTTCAGGGTCACCAGGGGTTTCTGGAATCCATTGGCTAGGCTTCAAAGAGCGGGGGGCTATGGGTTTTAGGCTTCCAAGAGCCGACAGAGAGCTTGGAAATTAGGACCTGTGCTATGCCATGGTACATGTCATGCAGCAGAAAAGGCCTAACAGAAACTCAGACAAACCATGCCAAACTATGATTTGCAGTGACTCCCAATCCTTGTTTCAGCATGTTTGACCCCCATGCCCAAATGGCTCTTTCTCAAATTAGGGACCCCCCCCCCCCGAGGAAAAAAAGAAGCGGTTCCCCCTCTCATTTGGGTTGGGTGAAAATCAAACCGCCATAGTTTTCGGTTCCATTTACAAGGGCAAGCCATTTTGTGCACCTATTTTTAACCCACACCCATTTGGCTCTTTTTCAGCCACTTGGCGCGGAGGCCTTGGTCCGCTTTTCAGGAGCTGGACCTCCTCCGCGCGGATCCGGATGACGAGGAGCTGCCAGGCCTCCTGACCTTCAACAGGCGCCGCTTTGGTGTCTTTAGGTGCCAAGGACGTCGGGGAGAGTTTTTCTGTCCCAAGAAGGGCCAGTCACTGGGTTTCTTCTTCTTTTTTTCTTCTTCTTCTTTGTTTTCTCCTCTTTATTGTTTTAAGTCGGTTTTTATTTATTTTGTTGGTGGGAATCCACCCCACATATGTAAGTATATTTGTTGTGAGACTTCTCTTGACCAACATATTTCGGGAATCCAGCCCTGCTGGGTGCAGAAAAGTGGAATCCGTAACATTGCCCTCTAAATAGGGGTTCAAGTGGAACCCCCCCAGGAAGTAATTTTGAGAAACCCGCAAAACGATCGCTTCAAGGGAACCAGGCCTACCCTCTTCCCCCCCCCCCCCCAAATATACACCCGCGGGCACAGAGAGACGCGCACACACAGCGCATCAGGATCATCATGCATCACATGGTGCACGCAGGTCAGCCACATGGGATTTGCATGGACGTCGGCGCGTTGCCGGACAGGGCGGGGTTCCCACATCATGTATGGGGCGGATTCCCGAACTATAGAGGGTCCCCTTCTGTTCGGGATGATGCATGCAGAGAATCCAAAGGACAGGGATCATCTCTGTTAATGACAGACACGGTGGTCGATTTACTTTTTTCCCTCACGTGGCAAGTAAGTAGGGGAACCTCTTGTTCGACCCCTTTGTGCCAGCATCTTTCTCGGTGAGTGAGACACCCCTTTAAGAAAAAAGCGGAGGCTTCCGAGAGGAGCTTGGTTTTGTGTATGTCTTGGACGACTTCAGACGAAGTGCGGCCTCAGCAAGCGGGCCTACTGTTCTGCTCTCTGCTCGTTGGGCTCGTGTTGAAGCGCTCATACAGCCTGGCTCCGAGGGATCACAGAATCGGATATTTCGCGGCCCGTGGGGTCTGATGGCAATAGGGATCCTTGGCTTGCTAGAGCTGATGTCGCTCATGTGTCAAGATAAAGGTCCAGAGGTTTGCTTTCTCGCCAAACTTACGCCGCATATGGCGAGCTTGGCTCTGGAATCCGTGCAGGTGAAGCCGAATCCGCCCAGCAACAACGCCTGAGCGGGCCGCGGGCAGCTGGAAAGTGTGTCACCAAAGGGTCCAAAGCGACGCGAGCGACGGCCTCGCGAGGTTTGGGAAAGGAAGGCGCGCTGCCCCGAAGATTCATATGGAGCCGAGAGGCTCAAAAGAGGATTCCTGGACACATGTTTGTGCTTTTGTATGCTCTTGGCCCCATTTCATAGTTTCGGAAGTGCAGGTAGAAAGCTCCTCGAAGCTGCCAGCCAGAGAGAGAGGGAGAGGAGTACACTGGACGAGTATGAAGCTTGTGAAGGAAGGAAGGGCGACAACTACAAGCTCTCTCACACACACATTTACAGGCACCCACCTGCAGGCCTACGCCTACCTATCTGCCTGATCCTACAGGTGCTGGCCATTTTGCCACAGCCAGGTGTTGACACGATGCCATCAAAACAAGACGATACCGAGCAACTGGTGCAGGTGCTGGCAGGCAGCCGTGAGACGGAGTTCCTCACCCTGACCCTCGGCATCCCTTGTTTTGGTTTCTCGCGAATGGGTTGTAGGGGGTGGCCTCCAGAACGTAGGTTCCGTTTGGTGGCGCCCCAGCTGCCTTGATGGAGGTTGAGCAATGCAAGGTCTGTCAGGTGCTGTTCTGTCACACGGGCACTGGGAAGCTTTCCGCAACCCCTCAAGTTGGGGTTTCCGCTCTGGCTCCACACGCACACATACACCCCCCAAGCAAAAAAAAAAAACAACGCAAAACATGTGATTTTCCGAGTAAGGAATTCAAATGGAATCGCTCAAAGCCTTTTTTGGATTTATCAATTCACATTTAAAAGTGTTTGAGAGAGCCGTCGGAGTGCCGCTGGAAAAACAGGTACGATAAAAGTTGGGGTTGGCGGTAAATGTTGCGTACTTCTACTGTAATTTGGCATTGGGTCATTTTTGGGTCTGAAAAAAGCTTATCAATATAGGGATTATGTATTAGTAGGGGGAAGGAGGTCCGCTTGGTTTACATAGCTTGCGGGAGTCTCTGCATGTTTGTTCAATTCGTTGGCATATTTTCGCGATATCATGCGTGCCAAGTGGGCAGGCGCAATGAACCAATGCAACGCCAGGAGTCACGGCGTATAAAATGTATGCATGCACGTTTGGATTTGCGTGTGTATGCGGTAGAATCATTAAAGTATGGATTGATTCATGCAATGGAATGGGGCGTAGTGCACTGCATCTCAACTTGGCAAGAAGCAGCGCGCCATAGCATGTTGTAATGCAAATGCAAACCGTCATTCAAGGAATGTACGTGTGTGAGGCCAGCACAGATCAGGTGCTTTCACGGGCCCAAAGTTACGCCAAGGAAGCGGATCGAGTGCTTGCTGGACGCCACTCGGGCAATTCGTTCGGGGAGTGCCGAGGTTTTGCCGGAGGTTTGGCATCACACAGTGAAGAGTTGTTCTTGGCTTTGTGTGGTTCTGTTCATTTTCAAGGGCTGCACGAAGAAATGAGTTGTGCCGAGATAGCAGTTTTTTCCATAGCTTTCCCCTTGGAGCTCTACCTGCTGTGTGAGTCCCGATGCCTTTGCCAACCAATTTTTCTATGCGTTTCTGACCGGGCAGGGATACCCGGCCAACAAGCAGAACCTGAACGAGTCCTAGACAGGGTTGCAGTTGGCTTGCCAGCAGCTGTGCCAAAGCACCTGCTGGCGGAGAGTCCTTCCTTGTAGCATACAGGTTGGGATTGGGGGTGCGCATCAACTCTTCGCTCAACATCAAGGCACGCATTTGTATTGTCTTTGTCAGGTTCCAGGGTCGTGACACATCGAGTCTGGCGTCTTTGGGAAGCTTTTTGGAGAAATTGCACCGCCATTTCCGCGGTGCCATCTTTCTTGTTCCCTTTGTGAAACTTGGAGGTTTGGGCGCGCGCCAGGGGGGAGGGGGGGGGGGGGGGATGAAAGGAGGAGACTGCGATCCGAGGCGTTCGAGGCCCAAAACAGCAGCGTGGCCGCCTGCGCGGGGGCGTCCTTCGGGGGCAACTTCCAGGTGACGAGCCCCAAGGTGACCCTCCAGGCGGGGAGAGGACTTGTTTTGATGGAGCCACGCGGGTCTCGGGCGGACAATGGTCCAAGGAAAGCCATCTCCCTTTGGGCGAATTGAGGGCTTCGCGCTGCCAAGGACAAGCCTACCTAAACCCTCAAATTACCCATCAAAAAGGGAAGTCACCCCCATAGTTCTTGAGGGTCCAGGTAGGCCTGACGGATTCATTGCACTCACTAAGATTAGAAACATCGACATCATTGCCCAACATAGATCCTTTCCTTACATAGGGAATCCAAAATAAGTACGGTCAACCCGGCAACCCTTCAAGTTTTATGTTGCTTTTTGGGAGGGTTAGGCTGGCTTTTTGGAAGCCTGTTTGAAGCTACTTGCAGTGCTGTGCGTGCGCGCTTGCTTGCATTGCTTGCTTGCTTGCTTGCTTGCTTGCTTTGTTTGCTTTGTTTGCTTTGTTTGCTTGCTTGCTTGCTTGCTTGCCTGCCTGCCTGCCTGCCTGCCTGCCTGCCTGCCTGCCTGCCTGCCTGCCTGCTTGTGTGTGTGTGTGTGTGTGTGTGTGTGTGTGTGTGTGTGTGTGTGTTTGTTTTGCCTTAGCGGCGCACCTACGCTGGTTTTTTTCAGGAAAAATGGGAAGGACGATGCCAGTTTCGCTCTGCGTCTGCGCAGGCGGTGTGTGCCAGGACCCCAGCTGAGGGACGGCGCGCGACGAAGTCGAGGGGAGCGACGTGGAAAAACTGACCCTCATGGTTGTAGTTTTCCGCAGGCGGCTAAGACAAGAGTTAGATCCACCCACAAATCGGCAGTGGAGGGACCAACCACGATTAATTCTGGTGTGTCTTTTTTGGAGGTAACTCCTTTTGATTAGGTTTGGGGGTCCCCTAAGTTTGAGAGCCCAATGCTGACCGACGGTCTGGGCGGTCTCACGCCTGCCGAGGACCCTGGGGCACAGCCGGCTGGATGTACTTGAGCGCGGAAGATCGGAAAATGGGCGTCCCAAAATGGCTTCGGCTTCCCTTCCCTTTTGGTTTCCCGTGAAAACCAACCAGAACAGTACGCCCAACAAAAAGGCAAGCGAATAGTTTGGGGGTGCTTTCAGTCGCACAAGCTCGCGGGTGCTTGCGGCTTCGGCAGCCGGCTTCATCTGCCAGGAAGACCTTTGTACTGCTGTAGCCCTTTTTGTTCACCATGCCATGGTGACACCCGCGATCTGACTCCATCGGCGGGTGCCTCAGGATTTGGAAGCAGCGCTTGAAGAGGGCGCCTGTTGACTGGGAATTGGTGCTTGCAGCGTCATAGGCGTCTTGCTTTAACAAGGCCCGTGGGGAGCAAACCCAGGAGCAGAGGAAGGCTTGCAGGCTGCTTTTTCCGCCGGCTGTGGTTCAATGTGGCGGGGCAGCCGAAACGAGCAAAAAAGCCGGCAAGACCAAAACCAAGAAGATCAGCCAAAAAACCGAAACGAAACCAACCAAAAGACCAGCAGACCAGCCAAAACCAAACCGAAACGAGCAAACCAACACCAGCCACTGCGGGGGGGGGGGGGACCAGCTGCCTCGTTGCGTCCTAGGCCCCGATGTCGCACCGCGCTGGCACGGGGGATGCGCCGATCCCCGGCCTGGTGACTTCTCGCTGGGCCCCAGAGGGCTTGGTGGGGTTGGGGGAGGGGGGCGGGGGGAAGGTTAGGGTGCCGGGAGGAGGAATGAAGGGCCCGAAGGCTAAAGCGCACAATCGGCCTGGGCTGAATTTGGGATTTCAGGCGCATCTTGGCCGCGCTCCTTGTACCCAAGCACAAACCCAGCTGGCATGTGGTGGGTCCAGAGGCAGGTGTCCAAAGCATTTCATACCATTGACTGAGCCCCAGAGCTCCCAGCACAAGGGGCCCCTCCCTGAGGGCATTTGGGCTTCCTGCTTCGTTTCCCTCACTTTCCCAGAAAGAAAATCACGCTTTTGGCCTTTTGGTTTTCCTGATATGTGTGATTTGTCGTCCTTTGGGGCTGGGACAGATGGGCTTCTGCCACCCTCTGCAGGTGAAAATTCACCGGTTGGCTCCCTTGGCATGGGAGCCGCGCTTGCTTGAGGACGGAATCCCGCCTACAAGCAGCGGTTGCAGAAGCAAAAGGTTGGGTGGGTGGCTGGCTTGGGTGGCTGGGCATGTAGGGCGGGGATTGTTTGCCACTTTGCCGCATGAAAGGCCACATGCCAGTGTTCACAAGCTGTCGTGTCACACAATTTGCGGCCCCTTCAGCGTGGTTTCCCAGCATGCTTTGTTCGTATCTTCACTTTGTGCTGAGAGGCCCGGTCACAAGGCTTCCCCATGAACAGAACGGAACAGAAGGCAATCGCTGGTATCGCCGATGGTTGCTTACCCTTGGTCTTTGCGTTTCGGAGGTGAGGTGCCAGCATTTGTCAGGAGATGGGTGTGATGGGTTGTTTGTGAGGAACGCTCGCCTCACTTGTGCCACGAGCACTTTTCGGAATCAGCAGCAATCTTTGCAACTGGAATAGGCTGAGCACTCCGGAGCTTACTCTAAGACATGGGCCATTGTTATAGGCCATTGTTTGTGTGGTTTGTTGACGCGAGAGAGGATAATGTCAAAAGCACAAATCTGCAAGTTGATTTCAGCAAAGGTGCGATCTAGGGCGTAAACATTTGATGTCCCAAAATAGGGGCTCATTCAAGAAACTGTCTGTGCCGGTGGGTTTCCTGACTGGGCCTCTATTGTTGGGACCTGGGTTGGGGGCCTTGGCACGAATCCCAATGACCTCTCAGGATTGCTGCCGTCAAACACAAGAGAGTGACCCTGACCAACCAAGCAGGGCAACACAGTTGCATACCCATTCTGCAAGTGGTATATAGGGGTTATGTATTTCTGAGCAGTTAATGGCCCACAACAACGGCCCATGTAAAAAAAAAACTGTGGAACGAAACTGCGGATTTTTGAAGGCACCGGGGCCAGCCCTCCCTGGGTTGCATTCAGATCGCATCACCGCTGACAGTCCCAACCAAAAAACTAGGCGCATCATGGTGCGCTCTAGATGATTCTTCCCTTCTTGTTTACAGAAGGGCTTCTCATGAAAGGTGGACCACCAGTAGGAAACCACCAGTTGGAAGGCACCAGTTGGATGGTTTATGTGATTAGCCATGATTCATTTCATCAACAGGGATGTCGCGGTAGTGACTGACCTGTGATGTTTGGCTCAAGTTTGCGGGTCCGTCGCGCCTCGGATGAGCGTCGCCGGGTCCCCGCGTCGATCACCTTCGTGTCGGTGGAGAAAGAGACATCGGCCCGGGGCAGATTGGTGGGGTCCGCCCGTGCGGTTCATCGTCGATCAAGGTTGCGGGTACTTGTTTACTTGTTTTGGTTTTTCCCTTTTGGTTGTTGTTCTCTGGTGTGTGGGAAACCCTGATCTTTGGGACCGGGGATTGGTTTGCTTTTGGGGAACCTTTCTTTTGTGGCTTGTTTACCCCAACTTACCCATTGCCTGGGCACAGGCTCGTGCCCGAATCACAGGTTATCAGCCGTAGGACTTTCCTACGCGCTTGATACCATCAACTACAAGCTCTATGTCGACCCCACGATCTTGAAGGAGTGTCGTGGATGAGGAGGCCATCCTAGGGGGCCTCCGCTCAGGTGAGGACCTACCGGACTACGACTACGAGGACTTCGAAGCAGGTTCGACAGGTCAGGATCGTAGGGGTGAAGATCCCGGTAGGGACACACCCAGGAGCCGTGGCAGGTACACCGACGATGGAGACGATCGCATTTTCCGTCAGGCCACCGATGATGAGCAGACACGAAGGGTTCGCTCCGATAGGAGCGGCTCTGAATCAGGTCACAGGCGCGGACAGTTCGACTTCATCAGCATGGCGATGAACATGGCCCGCCCTCATTCGGACGACCCGGAGGCCATGCCGACCCGACCCCCGAGACCTCTTGTTCCAGGTGAATCGCAGGTCTCGGATGAGTTTGAGGACAGGCCGCAAGGACCAGAGGACTATGTTTTGGCTCCGAGAGATATCTCGGGTCGATCCACTGGTTCTCAAAATCCAGGTCAGTTTGATGAGCATGAGGAGAGGAAATTCACAGGCTTCGGATACGATGATCTGTTGAAATCAACCGCAGGCTGGGGCAGTAGCGCAAAGCAGGAGTCTGATGCCGATAGGCCCAACCCTGTTGCTGCCGAGTTTGAGTTTGATAATGATGAAGATTATGCCGCATTTGCGGATCGTCGTGATGAAGAAGAGGATCAGTCGCGCCGGAATGCTAGAATCCGTGCTGCCGCGAGGCCCAGGAGCCTCTCTCGTGGAGCTGCCAGGGACCTTCATGTTGACAGGGACGCCCGGAGCGAGAGAGAGAGAGAGCCAGGGATAGCCGGGAAGTTCTTAGGGGATTGGAGGCCATCCATGACCGGGAGGCCCCCAGTGATTGGTGATACCCCGAATATTCCCCCTTTTCCCAACATTACATTTGGAGGTCCGCTGCATCAGAGAGACGAGGACTCGAACCGGGTTACTGGTTCGCCGAGGATCACTGAACGGGCTGCCGATGTCGTTGGGACAGGTGCAAGAGATGGTCGGCTTGCCGATGCACTCGGAGATCGAAGATCGTCCGTCGATCGCTAGCCCGTTAGGGCGAGATACCAGTGACCTTGAAACGCTGAGGTCTAGCAACGAGTTCACACCTCAATGGGGCTCGACCGCCAGGGAACGTAGTGCTTCGGCGAAGAGGCCGTCACCCCTCGCCATTGAGACCGATAGGTCAAAGGCGAGGAGGGCTAGCCCCTCACCAATGGGCTCAACTCCGCAGGATGAGGAGATGCCTGATCCTGCTGATGTTCACATTCACTCTACTCCCGAGTCTCGTGCATCCAACATTGATCCCCGATCTGGCGATAGCCGGAGAAGGGGATCTACCCCGAGTAGGCCACCCAGGATTGATGATTGTCCTGCAGGCGACCCCAGAAGACATGTCGGGGCTAGTGGGGCTCCTGAGAGGATCGAGATATCGACTCCTCCTGCCCTCAGATCCCAGTCTTCCGGCGAGTCAGGTGACGCTAGGGCAAAGGAGGTGTTTGATTTGCACATCCAGGAGATGCTCGAGAGGGGTGAGGTTTCTGGTTCGGTCGCGAAGGCGTTCCATATTTTTGCTGACCAAATCAGGTTACTGAACGGTCAGGTGAGTTCCATGCGAAAGGAGTGGAGCGACGAGAATCGGCAGACAAAGGACAAGGTCAATCGTTTGGCGACTGAGATTGCGACTCAGTCTGATGCCGGTAGGATGCGAATGATAGTTCAACGGTTTGCCAAGGAAGTTATTCCTGACAGCAAAGCCATTGCGAGGCAAGCCATCGATGAACAGGCTGAAATCGTGGATCAGAGGATAAATTTGCTTTCTCACGAGATCCATGAATCTGTAAAGGATAATGAGATCGCAACTGGTCAGATTATTCAGATGGTTAAGGAGAATCGTGAGGCCACCCACAGGAGCCATGCTGCTTCTGAGGATGAGATCCTTAAGGACTTAGACAAGCTCGAGGGACGGATGTTCTCGGTAGAGAAAACCGTCGGGATGCGGACGCCAGCAGGTGAATGGAATTTGAATCCTGCTGCGCAACCGCCCGATAGGGCTAGCAGCAGTGGGGCAAACGCAAGCTTCAGGGAGTTAAGCCTGAAGCTCGAGAAGGCTCTTCTCGAACACGAGAAGTTTGCTAAGTGGGCCTCCGAATCTATTGGTGGCATTAATGAAGAACAAACCATTCTTGCTAATCGGATGTCGAGGCTGCAAAGTGGGAGGGGGTCCCAGGCGATCGATAGATCATCAGGGCCTGTATCCCCGCAGGACTGGCATGAGGCAATTGACGAAGTCAATCGAAAGGTCCAGGATCTATCTCGCGGAGTTCAACGACACCATGGGGATCATGACGATGTCATCGCGAGGTTTGAGACCTTGAAGTCCCGTGTTGAGCAGTACGAAGCGAGCTCGGGGATTCTGAATCAAGTTCTTGATGACATCAGAAGGCAGATCCGCAGTCTCCCTGCGAACAGTGATCAAGCGCGGTCTGCCGTTAGGCGTGAACTCGATTCATTTCGGAGCACGCTTGAAGGCGCAATGCGGAGACTCACTACTACCGAGAGTAACATACGTACTCTTAATGGAATGAACAACAGGATCATGGCTCAGCTTACTGATATTGAAGGTCATGTTGATGAGGCTGCTGACATCATTCAGGGTGTTCAAGATAATCAGATGAATCCTCAACAACCCAGAGAGAGACGACAACGCTTTTGCGGGGCAGGGACATAGAATCAGGTCTCCGACGCCCACTCCCGGGGAAGGTGACGGTCGGGGTACTGGCCTTCCGGTGAGACAGGGCGGAGGTGTTGATTTGGCTGATCATGCTTTGCCAGATGTGCCCGGTAGGGTCGATCCTTCTCATGCAGGCAGGCATCCCATTCATCCCGATAGGGAGAGGGCTGACAGCAGAAGCAGGAGGGCTCGGGGACTGCCTGACAGGTCGCATTCGCCGCCAGGGCGTGCGAGGGATGGCCCCCGCGCGCGCGCAAGGGGGGACATTTCTGTTTCTCCCAGCAGGGATGTGGGTAGGAATAGGAGCCCGAGGCCTGCTGCCGCCCCCGATCTGAGGTCCGGAGTCGGCAATCGAGGGGGGAAAGGCCAATCCGCGATAGCGGGAGCATTTCTCCGAACCTGGATAGGCCGATCCGCGATAGCGGGAGCGTCTCTCCGAACCCAAACCGTCATCCAGGAGGTGGTAGGGATAATAGGGCCCATGCCGACGTCCAGAGTCCCGGCGATAGCTGGAGGACTCCTGAGAGTAGAGCTCGTGCCGATGTCCAGAGTCCCGGCGATAGCTGGAGGACCCCTGGAACTCCATCTGATCGTGGACAGGCCTCGGCACCGACCGTAAGACGAGCTCCCGGTACCGGTGGCCCAGGTGCGCCAAAGATCTGTGCCCTCGATGAGCCCAATGACCGTAGGCACCCGGACGCTGAATTCTCGTGTGTAACGTGCAAGCGTGATTTTTGCAGGCTTTGCCGGGGCGACGATGGGGACTGTTGCAATTGTCACTTCTTGAAGATGAAATGCTGGGCGTGTCATA